AGTCATGGGGCCTGCAACTGATGGGAGTTGGCAACTGTGACAGGGCTTTGCTCCCTTCTAGAAGTTCCCATAAGACTAAAATGGCCAGCAGGAAAGTCAGGTCACTGTGTAAAAAGAAGTTACTATAAACTGTCATCAATTTACTCCCCTTGCAAAGCTAGAACAGGTGTCTTCTGTGGGCACAGGATGTGGTGGGGATCTATGGCCTCAAGCTTCCAAGGGCCAGACATCTGACTGTGTTGGAGATCCTGCTTTGATTTATAACCTGTGTTTAGTGCAATCCTAGATTCTGTTTCCCTGTCCTACATTTTCTTAGTCACATCTATGCACTTTGTTCATTTGAGAAAGTCGCCCTCTCCTTCACTCTAAAAGGTCATTCTATTCATAGTACAACAAAATTTTGTCCACATTTAAAATAAGCAAAAGAATACACAGTATTTCTAGAGGAAGTATTAAAACAGAGAGGAAGGAACTGTCCTAACTGCAGCCTGGCTAGCCTTACTTGTTTACCTCTCTGTATGAAATATTCCCAGTACTGCTTTTTTTGGATTGCACCTATTTTTTGGTTCTCTGTTTAAAAGAAGGAAATCTTCACACTTTTTTCTTTCTTCACTGTAAAAAGCCTTTACAGATGTCTAGTTGTGTTTGCATTTATGTTCTGTAAAGCCATGTGCACTATATGGCCACCAGGCATTGTGTGAACCAAATTTTTTAATAAGCAGAGGATACATTTTTTTGTGCTGTATTTTCAGCAGCTGCAGCTTCTTAAGAATGGTGGAGCTGGGGCTGCCCTTCATCGTGCTAATCCTCAGCTGCTGGTTTTGGCCCCTTCAGAAATACCAGCAGCTGACAACATTTATGTCAGAGGTCCTGCACGTTCATGTTCACAGCAGATGACCACTGTAAACTTGTGTTTTATTCTGCTGTTCATGTTCCTATCTGCTGTAGCAAGTTAGAGGTTTGGTGCAATCCCAGTGGAAGTACTGAGCTTTGGCTAGCATAATGAGATCTCTCTGGCTCTGTAAAATTTTCCCAGTTGCCAGAAAAGCATAGCAAATTTTTGCTATATTTATATATGAAATAAAATGGAGTTTATTTATTTTAGCTTTTATATTCTCTTTTCATTGGAAGACTTGGAGGATTTTTTTTTTTTGTATTTGAACCTGGTTTTATTTCTTCAGATAGCTGTTTCTCTTGCAGGCTATCCAAAAAGTAAATAATCTGAAAAACTTGCTCTTTTCTAAAATTTGTGTCATTGAAATATTTATTGTACTAGAATGATTTTCAATTTTTGGTGCTTTAATGTGATAGTCTTATGCCTGCACAAGTGCTGTAAATAGTATGTGCCATAATGACACTTCACTTGTGTCTTTTGATACCGTCAAAATTTGAGTGACCCAACATACTTACCTATACATTGCAATGTGACTAGAACTTTTCCATGGGCTTACTTTGACCAGGTTTAATTGCTAATTGTTTCCTCAGTCCTTGACTTGAGAAATGTTGTGGTGTTTTGTGTATTATGAAGGAACAAAAAGAACAGCTTTATGTATATAGTATTTTAAATATCAAATGAACTTGCAACAGCAGCAGTTAATGCCCATTTAATTTTTTTTTTTTCTATTAAAATATGGTTTGTTTACACTTCTATTTGGCTGATGTAAAATGCATTTACCTTGATGCAATATGTTTTAGCCATGTGTAAATCAGCTGAAATTTTTTTTTTTTAACTTTTATTTTATTAGATTCTAAGGAATAGGGTGTGATTTTTTTTAATACTATGTTAGGAAAAGAGTAAGTGCAGGATGAGTTGGCTGTATTATTGGTTTTGTTTCATGTGTGCCTTACTCTGATTGTGTGGCTTTTAAATTATCTGCTCAAACTAAGCAGTGTACTGTGAAGTGGTGTATGCTTCAGAACTGCAACCCATTCCAGATTTAATACAACCTCCTCAGAAAACACTGATCTGAAAAGGTTCCTCTGCTGCCTCCTATCTATAAGTTAGTCACAAAGTCCAAAGTTTGCCAGTTAGTTAAGAAAAATGCATTTATAATGAAAGGTACTATGATTGTTCTTGTTTATGTTCACTATGTATGTTATGCATGATGGAATTAACTCTGAGGAAGGAGAGAAGGCTCAAGAATTATAAATTGGGATGACTTTTCTTTGCAGTAGCTGCAGCTGTCCTATGATGAGAAACATGATAAAGATGTATTACTGACCTTGCATCTAAGCAGGTATAGAGAAGCTTATGGCCAGGATTCTTAAATGTGGGAGGTTAAAATTAAGTCCTTTCATCCATATTGAGGTTCCTAAGTATGTGTCTCAACTTACCTTTTACTCCTATTAAGAGAAAGTTAAAAGCCCATTTGAAAATGGAATTATGCTATTTGTGTATCAAAAGATACATGCAAATGCTTAATGTTAGGATCCAGAGTTTAAAAAAATTGTTTTTTATATTTTAAGATAACATCACTCTCAAATGACTGAGTATAGTTTAATGCCCCCAAATCTGTTTTCACCTCTTAGTGTTCATATACTGTTGTGTCTAGTTTCAGTCAGTCTGTATCTTCCTCTTTATGGCTATTTCAAGTGTATTTGTTAATGCAAATACTAGTATAGACGATTGATGCCAGAACAAAACATGTTTCATGCTGAAATGTGATGCATTTCTAAGATGGTGGTGGTAGGAGAGGACAGAATCATTGAAGCAAGGTTTGATTAGCTAGGCAGTCAAATTAAGCTAATAAGGAGACACTTGCATTTTCTTTTTTGAGGACAAGGTTTTATCTCAGTTATGCTGATCTGATGGCTAGGAACTGGTAAAAGGAGCATTCCTGCTTTTTCCCTCTGACCCCCGTAATGTGCTGCGCTTTTGAGAACAGCTGAGAAGCCAGTTCAGAAAAAAATCCATCAGAGAACTAACCCAGGAAAAAAACCAGTAATTTTCCAAGGTTAGCTTTACAATCTGGCCTGCTCAGGGATGAAATGAAAGAAGGAAGAAATTACATCTGTGGTTGTTTTAGCCAAAATGTGAAGTCTCACCTGGGCGGTACGCCTAGCTTATGTCCTAGAGAGCAGGAAAATATAACAAATTACAAAGGGACAGATCTGTCTGGGCCATTTTGAAGACTTAAAGGGTAAATGAGTTTTAATAATTTATGTGCTCTAATAAAGAGTGGTTACTTCCTGAGAATGGTGTTCTCTAATGAAGAGGCTTTCTCTAATTCATATAGCATGACATGTAAAAGCAGGCACTAAGAAGGGGATCCAGAAAGTTGTCTTGTCAGGTAAGGAGCAACCTGGCTTGTTCAAGGTGTGATTTAATGTAAGTAGGTTTAATATGCAGGTTTTCTGTAATTTCTTATATATTTTAGTTGTTTGTTGGGGGTTTTTTTTGTGTTTTTTTTTTATGTTGCCTTTTTTGGTATTTCATCCTAGCTGGTGTAAAGTTTGGTACGGTTTTACAGGTACCAGATATTAACAAGCCATTGGTCACCAAATTTTTTGGGACATCTGTAAGATGGGGTAACTTAGCAAGTACCTTACTTACCCTTTTGATTGTTTGGAGAACATGCTTACAGAGCTGCAGAGGTAGCTTAGAGGATTTTGTGAACTGTTAGGCTCTCTGGCATATAGCCAGGGTACTCTGGCAGGTATTTCCATGAAAAAGTGTCTTCACATGCTTTAAGATTACTACTGCAGCAGCCTTGTCTCATAAAGTATTAATCTGCATGTTTAATTTAATTTACAGAGTTCGGACATGTTAACTTTGTATTGGCAGATATTGATGATTCCAAGTGAGTTCACTATCTTACAGAGAGCTTTTGCTGAAATCACGGAATGGGTTTATTTTTAATTATATGTATTATTTCACATGAGTTTCCTGAGTTACTTGTTGGACAAGTCATGTAACATTAGTTTTACCTGCTGTATTCTCACCTATCTGTTGCATTTGGATTAGTCATTAGTGAAGAATGGAGAGAAGCTTAATATCACAAAATTAGAAATACTAAGTGCCATGTATTACTGTTGCACATGTGCATGGTCTCTTCTTGCACATAGATGGCATCTGATGGTGATAATGAGTATTTGACTTGGGACAAATGTAAAACTTGTTTCCCATCACTTTGAACTCTGTGCCAGAGTCTCCTCCTGTCCACTCCTGCAACTGACAACTAGCAGAAGTCACTGTCATGTTGTAGCTGCAGAACAGCTGGACTCTTTTGTAGACTTACTGTTGTTAGTGTTAGACTGGAAAAGTAGTGAGTTTTAAGAGGAGACAGCTTGGACAGAGAACAGTCATAAAAAGCAAGCATGCTAGTAAGGCTAAGAAAGACTCCTCTCTGAGAGGTAGAGTGACATCTAAAGGAGAGAGAGAGAGAAAGAGACTGAGTTTGAAGAATAGAAAGGTGACTGAAGAAAAATGTGACATGAAGAGGAGGAGCTTTATAAAGACATGAGGTGTTTTTATTCAGTTTCAATGATACTTAATGATCAGACTGGATGTCAGCCGCCTTCTCTTATTCTCTCTAGTATTAATACAAATTTATAATGATAATATTTTGTCTCTTTTTAATGTCATCCTCTATTAAAAATTCCCAGCCTCAGCCATTATCTTATCACTTTCCTTATTATCTCAAAGAAATAAAGGTGGGTGGTTGTTGTTGTTATTATTATTAACCAAATAGCACCAATTCACATATGTACTAGGTATTCATTTATATCAGAAGTATGATTACCAGTAGAAAAGAAGCTGTTATTTTTTTCTGTTTTGCATTACACCAGTATTAGTGGTCGCTGCATCAGACAAAGTTAAGCAGATCTGATGTCCTCCAGTGTTGCCCTCCTCTGGGGGTTTTCAGAAAGCTTTTCCAAATTTTTTTATTTGTGTATGGTCTGGTTTCAATATGCAAAATGATTGCAGGCTTTGGAAGGCTGAAATTTCCCACTAGGAAGGCAGAAATTTAGGATTACTATGTTAATCTCCTTTTTTTCAGGTATCCAACTGCCAAGGGAAGATGAGATTTCCATACCTGTGACTTCAAGTTCCCCAATTAAGGACACTGAGGAGAATGTTGATCTTGCCATTGAACAGGAAGAGGAGATGAAAGAGGAACCTTTAACCATTTCAGAACTGATATACAATCCTAGTGTCAGCTTGCTGCCCACCCCTGTTGATGATGAGATTGACATGCTCTTTGATACCTGTCCAAGAGTAGAGAATGAGAAAGATGATACAGATTCATTTGAGGAACTGGAAGCAGATGAAAATGCATTTTTGAATGCAGAGGAGGAAGAACTGAAAGAAGCTCGGAGAGCACTTACGTGGAGCTATGACTTTCTAATGGGCAACATAGAGGTGAATGCCTTTGTGAAGAGTTTCTCTAGACTTCTCCTTGTAGGCTTTGGACTGTTGTTGTTTGTGTTCCCTCTTTTCCTTGTCCTCTTGGAGTCGGACCTTCAGATTTCCCTTCTCCATGAAATACGTCAGACGCCGGAGTTTCAGCAGTTTCATATTGAGTATTACTGCCCCCTTAGGCAGTGGGTGGCTTGCAAAATAAACTTCATTTCTGACATGCTGGGCAGCTTTTGAATTTTAAATAAATATGATACAGCTAAGGGCTATATTCAAAATTTCAGTCAGGGCCAGCTTTCCATAATGCCCCTGGGTCATCACATCAGTTGGTAGTTGTCTTCATATCCAGTTCATTACAGACTCTTTAAGTTCTTAAGTTCCCTTTAGATGCTTAAATTATCCCTTTGGTTAAAGGTTTATATAGTCACCAGTAACCAAAAAGCAGCTTTATTTTAATTGTGTTTCAGACTTCCTGCTCATTTATTGCATCATATAAGACAGGGTCACAATAAGTTTCATTGTCTTTAACCTTTCAATCTATGACATTAAATCCAATGAAACTGAAAGAAAAAGTGTTTTTGAATATACTCCTTAGTGCAGTGGTCTCTTCTAACCAATGCCTATACAAGCAATGTTTATGCTGGGGTTTTGTTTTTAGTTTGTTTTTCTGTTTCTTTGGTTTTTTACATTTTTATGTGTTTAAAACATTTTGGTAAATTTTTAGCAAAAGAACTTCTGATGTTATTTAAGTGTACAAATTGGTAAGAATAATGCACAAGGGCATGTAGGGTGTTTTAAGTGTTTTAGCAATGTTTTGTATTTAATATGCTACCTGGAGAATGAATCTCTAATATATCTCTATACAGATGGACTGTAGTTTGGGAAATAAATAGAAAGTTCACTCATGTTCTATATGGGCTGCCTATGGGAGGTGAAGGACACAAGTGTGCAGAAGAATTTCAGAAAGGCACAGCTGGAAAGCTTGGGGAAGTGAGCAGAACTGAAAGTAATGATCCTTCCTCTTACCTATCAGATTGTCTTACACTTTATCAGTGCTGTAGAAAGTCTCTACTAGGTAGTCCAGGTATGTTTAACAAGATAGTGAGTCTTCAGTCTAAATGTAGATTATTGTACATAACATGGAAGAAGATAATAGTAAGTAGCAAAAAAAAGAAAAAAAAAAAAAAAAAAGCCAAAACCCTAACTAAATGAGTAGGTGAGTGACCTACATTTAAAAATGATACAGAAGAAAAATTTACTCCTTTTAAAAGCAAAGCATTAGGCTGTACAGTTGACATAAAATATTCTACTGACTCACAGTTAAAGGCTTAAACACTTGGAGATGCATCTTTATCCATAATACCCATTATTACTAACCTCAAAGGCAACTTATTTTCTGTGCATACTAATATGCTTCCTGTCACATATAGCAGCATACTTACTCTCTTGCCCTGTTATTATGAGCCCAGTTACAAGATCTAATGCTGTTTTGTGTAATATGAATTTGTGTATCTAAAGGTATTCCAATATAGCTTAGAGAATATATTTGAATAAAATATTAGCAATGCTGAGAACATTTGAAGGCCCTCAAATATACCACAGAGGTTGTATTTAAAAGGAGAAAGTTGTTTTTTTTTTCCCCACCCCAATCTTAGTGCAGACACATTTCATATTTAAAATAGGGAGCTCTGATTTTGGCTTCAGAGTTTTTCTCCTACTTAGAGATTTATTAATTTGAGACATTTTTCAGGCTGTTTTGCT